CAGTGTTATCAACTATAGTCTATATCAGTGATGGTGAACCTATGACACGCATGTCAGAAGTGACACGCGAACTCATTTTTTTGGTTGACTTTTCTTTGTTAAGTGGCATTTAAATATATAAAATAAATATCAAAAATATAAATCTTTTTTTTTACTATGGTTGCAAATATTTTAAAAAATTATGAATATTTCTATATGTGACACGGCACCAGAGTTAAGTTAGGGTTTTTCAAAATTTTGACACGCCGAGCTCAAAAGGTTTGCCATCACTGTCCTAGTTCATGGGTCAGTGCTCAACCACAGAGACATATCAGCCAGGCTTGAATAAGTTTTCAACCCTGTCTGAGCCTGTTTCCTTCTTACTCTCCCTGGTTGATGAGACACAGGTCCCACTCCTAAGATGCTGATAGTGGAGAGACAGTCCCCCACCTTTGGAAAGCCTGCAGTTTCACAGAGGAAGCATTATTTTCCTTACTGCCTTGTCCTACAATTCTCTCTTTAGTTTTGCTATATTTGTCTTTGTGTTTCTCCCAGGTAGCTTGAGAAGGGTGTTGGAAGTGACTGGAGATACAGACAAGAAGATACAGCTAGATACAGTAGTACAGCTACTTAAGTGTAGCCCCCAAATCACAGGGAAGGGTAGGGAAGAAATTGGAAAAGGGGCAAGGTAGGGTTAATAAGGGAAGTTATTTGGATGATGGAAACATAAGTTGAGGGGGAAAGGCTATGATCAATAATGCAATTCTAAAACCGGACCTTCAGCAAGTCACATGAGAGGAGTGCCTTCTAATTAATGGCTGTTCAAGGTTGGAGGAGAGGAAGAGGCCAAAGACTCAGCCTGAGGGTTCAAAGAGGTGCAACAGTAAATTCATGGGATCAGTTAGTGAAGGGACATAAACAATAAAATGGCCTCGATTTATGGGAAACTAAGATGGCGGCAGAGATAAACACTGGGAAATTAATGCCGCGCACAACAATTGATTAATACCTCAGAGAAACAATACGGACTTCATCCAGAACCATAGGAAGCCTGGCTGACTGTAAACTCTACAACTAGAAGGGAGGAAACGCACACTGAGACCAAGAGAAGCTGCAGGAGAGAAGCGCAGAGGGAAGCAGCCAAAATGCGGAGACAGAGAAACAGGTCACGAATGGCAGAAATGGAGGAAATCAAACGATTGGATATAGAGTTCAAGGCCACGTTTATAAGGTTTTTCA